CGACGTAACCCTCGGACGACTCCGAGCGAGGCTAAGAAGAATGCAAGTAGATTTACACCGGTATGGTCAGACCAAGTGGAACTCAGACCAATTAATCTTGTTTTAATTCGTGATGATTTTTCGTCAGTTATTTTTCGTCCAACATGAATGGCTGTCATTAACACGTTGATTGCGATGCAAGGTTTTTAATTTGAATTATTCAAATTATTGGCAATAGGAAAGCAACTAAAATTTACTGAAGACTTAATATTTCATAGAAAGAAAGTTTAGAGACAGATTTTTAAGTTTGAAAATTTGTACATCTTCAAATTTCAGCTATTCAAATTCTCAGATTAGGAAGTTTACAAATTTAGAAATCTGTAGTCACTTTTTTTAAGTCTAAAAATATTTACGTTCACAAATTTAAAAATTTTGTAATTTTCAATTTAGAAATTTTCTATCTCTATTTTTACTTTTAATTTTTACTTTTTAAGATTTAGATATCTAAAAATTTTCAGTCAGAAACTTATGAAGTCTAATTTATAGAAAAGTCAGAAATTTTTAAAACTTCAAGAACTACATGAAAAGACCTCTCTCTATATTGCCAGCTGCTACAGTTTCACTTGAATAAATTTTGCACAAATACAATTTCTATCGGCTGAATATTACAGGTATTAGATTAGAAATTGTAATATCTTAAGCAATCACATTGTAATTCCACAGCAACAGTCAACGTGTCAAGGAGTAAATTTCATCATAGATTCTTTTGCATACGATTAGTATTGCAATTCACTTTGGACAAAGAATAGCTTAACAATGAAACATTCTCGTCTAATTTTCTCGTTGTTGATTACACTTTTAATAATTCTGATAAAAGTACAAAATCAATTTTTACGAAATAAATTTCCATACAAAGTTCATAATTTATACGAATGTAAAATTCCGAGTGCAGGAATTTAATATCTGATGAATGGGCAAAAGTGGGAATTTTGATGAATGTACAGAATCGAGAATTTCGATGAACGTACAAAATGGAGAATTTTGATGAATGTACAAAAATGTAAATTTTGATGAGTGCACAACATCGAAAATTTTGATGAATGTATAAAATTTTGATGAACATACAAGGTTGAAAATTTTGATGAATGTATAAATCAACATTCGATTTCCTTTATTTTGTATTCTCTGCATTGGAGAATAATTATTGCACATAATCGTGTTACGCATTCATCTATTACTGTTCTAATTGCCTCGTCCGTTATCCTACACGCTTGTAGCCGCACATTTTTTTCCCTAATTATCCTGCACTTGTTTTCCACGCGATCGTGTATCGACGCTCCCTAGGAAGGATCGCTGTAGACCAGAAACAAGTAACTTTCGACTGATAAAATCTGTATAAACTCGAAGTTCCGCGATCGACTTGACGCAAACCGATCGCGAGCCTACCGGGTCTTTAGAAGCCCACTCGAAGACCCAAAACGCAAATTTATACAATATATACAATCACGTCGAATTAGGTACGTGAAATAATCGTTTCACGGTTGTACAATCGATTGACACTGGAATGAGCTCGATTCGAGATTAAAAGTAACTGAATCGACGAGTTTAAAAACGCAAGCTTAAAATAAATTTTAACAGAGTAAAACAGAATTCAAAATTACTGAAATGCAAATATAAATAATATAAATTATGTTTATCCTCGGTAGTAACAAATAAGGTTATTAAAATATTACCAATCAGTAAGTAGACAAGTAATTTTTTTAATCAAGTTATTTACTATGATTTTCCTGTATAATCATATAAAATAATCTGATCGTTACATTTAAAAGAGATTGATCAATATAGTGGTTAAAAAATTTTCTAAATAAAATTTGTTTTAACAGTACAGTTGATTTTGTGTAAACATAGTAAACAAGATGTAACCATGATTAATGATTCAATGAGAACATGATTGTAGCTCATCGATTCAATTAAACACTCGAAACTCGAACAATAACAATTGATGACGTGTATTCAACAATTATAAACTTTCATAGGTGAGAAAGCAAATCGATCAGGTCGCTTATAATACTTTATTATCTCTTACAAAATTCTCGCGTGTCCTTCTCCTTAATAATTAAAATATGAACAAGGATATAATGAAGATAGAATAAGTTAACAAATGTCGATAGAAACATTAAAAACAAAATAAACCCGGTAGACTGCGTTTCTTTGCGGTCGAATGTTTTGATCGTGAACCCTGTATTTTTCTTTCAGAAACACCAAGGTAACTTTCACTTAACCAGTAACGATTAATTGTTTGCGGAAGGCGAATGAAAAAAAAAACTTAACACGAATTATCCTAGGGAAGTTTGTACATAACGAAAGAAAAAAAAGAAAGCTTTCAGAGAAAGAAAGAATAAAATAAAATCAAATAAAATAAAAGAAATATTAATAAATCGTATAATAATAGTAACGGTAATAGTACTAGTAATAGTATTAATAATAATAATAATTATAATAATTGTAACCATAGTAATGATAATAATAACAGCGCTATGTAGTTTCTGACCGAAAAAATACAAGTTGCTCTCGAATAACGAATAAATCATAAACGAAGGAAACGATTCGTAGCAGTTACTTGTTTCCCGCTCGAAATGGCGGCTTCTTTCATTTTAAAGCCGGTCCGCTTGCAGCGTAACTCAAGATCCGATATCGAGGTCCAAAACGAATTCCGTTGCTCGGATCATGAAACATCAGGTCTGATATCTCGTATTATCTTCGTTACGAAATATTTATCGATACATTTTGCTTCCGAGCAACGAACGCATTGCCGCGTGACGACCATTTTGTTCGAGTACGCGCCTGATCATACTTCGATGATCTTGAGGATCTTAACTTTTGTCTGTTCGAAAGAATCGAAGGGCTTGAAAGAAGATCGTGCAAGCGACGAGCGAAAAACAATGCTTCTACGTCCAATCATCGTCTACCTGTCTCTTCTTTCTTCGAACACCCTAACGACGATAAAAATCTCTTTTGTACTTAAGCATACAACGATGTCTCTGGTTAAATTATAAAAAAAAGAAGTTACGCTACGAGTCGGAATTAAATACAACAACGAAACACGAGTTTCTATAAATTAACAAATATTCGTCTATCTAACAACAGCTTTTCCTTCGTTTCTTCCTGCGCATAACTTCGGTTAAAGCTACAACGAACGCGTGTGTTCCCTTTTCTTTGTTTGGGTATATTATTATAATTATAGTCGCTGGCGTAGCTAGGACTCTTTAGGGTGGGCCTGGTTACATTTAGTTAGAGTTTATTTCGGATATTTGCGATTTATTCAATTTGAGATACTGGAACGTAGAAATTTAGAAAGGGAAATGAGGAGTTAGGGAATCATGAGATTTAGAAATTTACAAGTTCAGAGAATTAGGAGTTTAGGAATGTTGGTGTTTGGGTATTTGGAAATTTGAGGAATTAAGGGTCTAAGGATTTCAGGAGGTAAACAGTTGATAATGTAAAGAATTAATGTATTTAGGAACTTTGGATTTAGAAATGGAATTAGAAGAACAAGATTTCTGATTTAAGGAATTTAGGGATTTAAGGTGTTTAAGAATTTAAAAATTTTTAAATTTGGAAACTTGAAAATTTTCGAATTTGTAAACTTCAGAATTTAGAGACTTGAGGATACATTATGAAATTGGAGCTACAAATTTTAGAATTTGGACTCACAAATTCATTAGCAATTCAAAAATTTGTGAGTTTAGTCATTAAAAAATTTAGGGATTCCAGAATTGATAATCTAATCTTCTAGATATGAACATCTCAAGACTTGAAACCTGAGATGTTCTCAGGCTATCAACAACTCATGATTTGACAATGTAAGAAAATTTGGAAATTTAAGAAAAAATGTTTCAATCTAGGAATCTCCAAGTTTGAAAATAAATTTGAAAGAGAAAATTCGTAAATCTCCGAGTTACACGAGGTACACAACTTCATATCCGGGCCCACCCTGGGAGCTAGTTACGCCATAGACACTAGTACGATAAAAAAAGCAGGCATCCACTCGATCAATTGTCCTATCCACCACGTACGAGGAACCGAGCCAAGAAAGGAAAGCAAACGGTTAGCCTCAAAACTCGCACCACGTTCTCAGAACCCTTCGACACCTCTCCTTTGCGTCGCTTGAACCTCGCTCGAGGATCGGCCCTAAAAAGAGAAACGTCTACGCGAACACTTCCTAGGTAGCGGCGTGCCCGAACCTCGGGCATGGTCGATAAAACTGTTCTCTCCGTGGTCGTTTCCCATTTCGTTCATTTCTATTTTTCCGGACGGTGGAACTCACCTTGACAGAGCAAGGCCCGGCGCTACTCGCGTACCGCTTTGTTCGTCAGCGTCGGGACGCCCTGCGCCGCGTCGATCGTTCAGCTGTCGACGCTGAAAAGCTCTTTGTGGAGGGCCGGGAACTCGAGGTGCGGCTGGGACCGTTTGAACTTCGCCAGGGCGTCCATGTGAAGTAACGAGATCTCCCGTAGCTAATTATAGTCGCTGGCGTAGCTAGGACTCTTTAGGGTGGGCCTGGTTACATTTAGTTAGAGTTTATTTCGGATATTTGCGATTTATTCAATTTGAGATACTGGAACGTAGAAATTTAGAAAGGGAAATGAGGAGTTAGGGAATCATGAGATTTAGAAATTTACAAGTTCAGAGAATTAGGAGTTTAGGAATGTTGGTGTTTGGGTATTTGGAAATTTGAGGAATTAAGGGTCTAAGGATTTCAGGAGGTAAACAGTTGATAATGTAAAGAATTAATGTATTTAGGAACTTTGGATTTAGAAATGGAATTAGAAGAACAAGATTTCTGATTTAAGGAATTTAGGGATTTAAGGTGTTTAAGAATTTAAAAATTTTTAAATTTGGAAACTTGAAAATTTTCGAATTTGTAAACTTCAGAATTTAGAGACTTGAGGATACATTATGAAATTGGAGCTACAAATTTTAGAATTTGGACTCACAAATTCATTAGCAATTCAAAAATTTGTGAGTTTAGTCATTAAAAAATTTAGGGATTCCAGAATTGATAATCTAATCTTCTAGATATGAACATCTCAAGACTTGAAACCTGAGATGTTCTCAGGCTATCAACAACTCATGATTTGACAATGTAAGAAAATTTGGAAATTTAAGAAAAAATGTTTCAATCTAGGAATCTCCAAGTTTGAAAATAAATTTGAAAGAGAAAATTCGTAAATCTCCGAGTTACACGAGGTACACAACTTCATATCCGGGCCCACCCTGGGAGCTAGTTACGCCATAGACACTAGTACGATAAAAAAAGCAGGCATCCACTCGATCAATTGTCCTATCCACCACGTACGAGGAACCGAGCCAAGAAAGGAAAGCAAACGGTTAGCCTCAAAACTCGCACCACGTTCTCAGAACCCTTCGACACCTCTCCTTTGCGTCGCTTGAACCTCGCTCGAGGATCGGCCCTAAAAAGAGAAACGTCTACGCGAACACTTCCTAGGTAGCGGCGTGCCCGAACCTCGGGCATGGTCGATAAAACTGTTCTCTCCGTGGTCGTTTCCCATTTCGTTCATTTCTATTTTTCCGGACGGTGGAACTCACCTTGACAGAGCAAGGCCCGGCGCTACTCGCGTACCGCTTTGTTCGTCAGCGTCGGGACGCCCTGCGCCGCGTCGATCGTTCAGCTGTCGACGCTGAAAAGCTCTTTGTGGAGGGCCGGGAACTCGAGGTGCGGCTGGGACCGTTTGAACTTCGCCAGGGCGTCCATGTGAAGTAACGAGATCTCCCGTAGCTGAGGAATCTTCGCCAGGATCGCGTCGCACACCGTCACGTCGCCCTTTATGGGCGACACGTGGTTGCGATCCAGCTCCGACCTGAGCGCCCTGATCACCGCCTGCGACAGTCTCGTGATTTCCGCGAGCCCTTTCAGTCCCGGTCGATCTGAAATATTATTTTTGGATCTAGTTTATTTCCGTTACACGCATTTTTACGCGCCTTTCGTTCCTACGATAGCTTTCCTTTCGGTAGGGTTCATCGTTTATTTATAAACCGTGATTATTTTTATGGGCTGCTGACAAAAGAAGTGGACTGCTCAAGATAATTAGGGTGCTTCGTTTCTGGGTAATTTTGGATTGTGAATGGAGATGACACTGGATTGTTTTGACACCTGATATGCACTGTCGTTTGTAAATTAAATTACCTTGCTGAGAATATCCTATTCTAGAAAATTTATTTTTAACTGTAAATTATAGGAATGTATGGTTTGTTGATAGTAGTTTACAACATAGGTTGCTTCATGGTCTTCCTCGATTATGAACGAAGACAGTGATAGTGTATTTTGACACCTGATATATGCATTGCCATTTATAAGGTTATAAGGTTGTAATAAGGTTATATAAGGTTAGATCAGGCTGTTATAAGGTTAGATCGCCTTGATGACTTTAACAAATATTCTAATTTAGCAAATTAATTTTTGTAAGTTACAAAAAGGTACGTTGTGTTGATAGAAGTCTAAGACAGGCTTCGTGGTTTCTTCATTCACTTTGGATTGTGAATGAAGAAATGATGAATGAGTCCTGAGATTGCGTCTAAAGTGACGTCTGGTTGGTTGCTTTATCTATCTGCTATCGTTGGTAAATTCTTAACAACTTGGAGTTCAAAAAATATATTTTTGGAAATTTATATCTAATCAAAGTTATCTGTGATTCAAATTTATCTTTGTCAAAATGTTCAGTCAGTACAGAGAAGTCCATATAACAGATCTACAGTTATTTTTGAGCGATCAGAGGTAATTCTCTAGTAGTAAGTGATGTGTTTGAGAAGTTGTCGACTGAGTATTTGTTTTCGAGTTGCACTTCTATTATATGATATTGTCTTGAAAATTTAAGGTCCAAAAGAAGATTTGATTAATAAATGTGAGGAAACTAACCAGGACTGAGAAGAACCGCTGCGCTGTAAAGAGCCAGCTCTGTTTCCGTAAGCTTCAATTCGGCAATACTCCTGGCCAGCTCGAACACGCAAGAAACGAGCTTCATTTCCGCCGTGTCCGTCGTGTAAAACGCATCCTGTGGCAACATGGTCTCACCGTAGAGGACACAATTTTGCTGGAGATCGAGGTACCTGCTCATACGTAGCACAGCCAACTCGAAGGAACCTAAAAGCATCGTAAAAAATATTAGTAGTTTCGACTTTCATATACCCTGAGTATGGAGACAAATGTTGTATAAAAAGCTTTCATTAAATTTGACACAAATGAGGCTTGAACGTTTCATTAAGTCAAGATTTTTTCTAACACTTCATCCACATTTCTCCTATGTTTTATAAACTCGAAATTTAAATGAAGTTATTCTCAAAATAAAATTAATATAATACGGTAAACAAAAATATTGTACATGATAATAGAAATAAAATGAGAAAATTTGGATGAAACGTTACGTATTCAAGCTAGTAAAAGAAAGTTAATATTCAATAAATTTTTAATCCACGAGTGTGTAATATCAATTGCATTTGGAATAATATTAATTTCTTTCTAGTCTTCGAATTGAAACTTAGTTTCTTGTAAATGTACAATGATATGATACTTCTCATTGTAATTTTGACAGCCACAAAAGTGGCTGAAATGTCTATCAAGAGTGTTGAATGGTTGCGTACAAGTAATTAAAGCTTTATCTGTCCGCATGTCACAGTTTGTTTTTTCCTCCGTGATAAGACATGCGATTGTGCGAGTATTTATTTAGCTCCGGCAATGTTTACACCAGCCTCGTAAACGGGTAACTAAAATTTACTTTTGCATAATTCCTGTTTACGAAACTGCGCCATTATCACCGACATTCCGCCAACTTTTACGAATCTATATTCCTGTGTTCCGCTGATAGTGGTCAACGCGTTACAGCGGTTGATTCACCTTCTATTAAATCTACCATTTCGTGTAAAGACAAAACACGAGGAAACAAAAGTGCATACATTGTAAGAGTAGAATAATTATATTTCATTATTTATATTACTAATGAATTTAGTATTAAAATTCATTGTTAAATTCATTGAAATGGATATTTATACATTCTTAGATTTTTATATTTTTAGATCTCAACATTTCTAGATACCAATATTTCTAGATTTCTACATTGATGAATCTCTAGGTTCCTAGATCCTTACGTCTCTAGGTCTCTACGTCCCTAGATCCCTTCATTCCTAGATCCCTTCATCCCTAGATCTCTGCGTCCCTAGATCCCTTCATCCCTAGATCCCTTCATCCCTAGATCCCTTCATCCCTAGATCCCTTCATCCCTAGATCCCTTCATCCCTAGATCCCTTCATCCCTAGATCCCTTCATCCCTAGATCCCTTCATCCCTAGATCCCTTCATCCCTAGATCCCTTCATCCCTAGATCCCTTCATCCCTAGATCCCTTCATCCCTAGATCCCTTCATCCCTAGATCCCTTCATCCCTAGATCCCTTCATCCCTATATCGCTTCATCCCTATATCCCTTCATCCCTAGATCCCTTCATCCCTAGATCCCTTCATCCCTAGATCCCTTCATCCCTAGATCCCTTCATCCCTAGATCCCTTCATCCCTAGATCCCTTCATCCCTAGATCCCTTCATCCCTAGATCCCTTCATCCCTAGATCCCTTCATCCCTAGATCCCTTCATCCCTAGATCCCTTCATCCCTAGATCCCTTCATCCCTAGATCCCTTCATCCCTAGATCCCTTCATCCCTAGATCCCTTCATCCCTAGATCCCTTCATCCCTAGATCCCTTCATCCCTAGATCCCTTCATCCCTAGATCCCTTCATCCCTAGATCACTACGTCTCCAGATAGCGATGTTCCATGATTTCTACTTTTATAGATTCCTATATCTCCCTAGATCCCCACATCCCTAGATACCTACGTCCTTAAATCTCTACGTCCCTAGATCCTTACATCCCTAGATCTCTATGTTGATAGATCCTTAAGTCCTTACGTCCCTACGTTCCTATAAGTATATCCTTACTTCCTCAGATAGCAATCTAATGGAAATCTACTGTAATTATCTATTTTTCAAAATAAAACACCTGATACATAAGCCTTCTTACATCTCCTATAACATCATAATTTTCCATTCAACACTCCATATACATATAGAATCAAAAGTGCTTCAGAATAAAGAAACTCTAAACTGTCTACCAGCAGCGAATATGTTAAAATGTCTTGCAAAGTGTCCCCATGTGGGGATGCAATGACTAAAAGATACGATCGCAAAGGATTAAAGTACGATCGATTGTCAGATAGTGACACTTACCAGCCTTTAATAGAACAATTTGATCGTCCTGCGAGAGCTTCATGAATCCAGGAACCATCTTGGCGAACTCAATGATCTGCTGGATAACGGTGGTTAGTTTTTGGGCACATTCGAGCCACAGTTGCTCGTGCGCCATATTCTTGTAGTAGATCAATCTGGAGAGGTCGTGCGGCTTCCGGAAGGACTCCTGGATCTGTTCCGTCGACAGCAGACACGTTCTTGCGTGTGCATCCGCTATCGTTTTCGAGAGCAACTCGCTGATCTGTGCCGGATCTACGAAAATCCATCAGGATGTTCGGGTTGAAATTTTATTCTTCCACGATTGTCATCGACGACACGTTTTATAGAAAAATAAAAGAAAACACAATCACTATTTTCTAATTTACAATGTGGCTACACACACGTGTCATTAACAACGAACGCAGAAACTGACAATGAACACAGAGACTGACAGATTTTTAGCACATATAACACGTATGACAAATACAGAACGTTAAAGAGAAAAACTGCAGTTAGCAATTACTGTTTCTTTCTTGTAAATACGTAACGATTCGTAAGAGGAGAACACGTTTTCCAGGTTAAGTTTACGCGGGCCAATGTGGACCGTCGAGGCCGTTGATCGTAGTTCGTCGCAAATTACAATAATTACCGTAGTTTCAAACTACATTATCGCTATAGTTACCGGAGCCATTCGACTTCGCCGCTCAAGGCGGGGAACTTTAAACGACCCTTTGCTTCAACGCCGGGAATCAGCATCCAGAAATTCAGGCCCTTTCATTCAATTTCTCTTATAAACTACAGTTAGTCATTCTCGATTACTCTTACCTTTGCTGTCACTAGATATAGGGTTCGAATATCGTAGCTGCGTTAATTTTCATCATTTCTCGTTTTAACGAAAGTTTAGATGAATTTGAGTAAGAAGGTTTATGAGATTCTTGATATTTATTGATTTATAACATTCGTTCGTTTGATTATTGATAAAATTAACTACTTTAATATTGCTCGATTTTAGTGAAAATTCGAGAGTTGAAAGAAAAAATATGCTTGACTTTACGAGTTAATGGTATGGATTTATTTAACAACGCATTTGATGAATAAATTAAGCCAGATTAGTGAAACTGATGAATGAATTAACAGGGACTAATGAATTTGGACGAATGAACGAAAATCAATAAAATTAACAATTTATTAAGATTAATGAAATTAATACCCTTTCAAGAGATCAATGAATAATAGAAGTTATCAGTGAACGAACGAATGAAATTATCAATAAACACTGTAATCTTTCCCAAAAATTCCAAATTCCGAAAGCAAAGGTATAAAACTTCGACATATTCTAGAATCCTTTGGTTACGTATCACATATTTTAAAATTCCTTATACAACTCCTTAAAAATCCCGACTATAAAAGAAAACGGTCTCGTTCATTACTTGGAGTAACCACCCGCGCCTAACGACAGATTATCACCATCCATTAACATCAAACCGCGTTGATAAACGCTAACGAACGGTTCCCCTCGAACGTCACGTCGAGCAAACCATCGCAAACACAAATAATCGAACGTGCACACACGAAAAATCTATCACGCCCTGGTCCACGCCCCTTCGCACTCAACGAGGAGAACGTACTCCCTCGCGTCTGCGGCACACGAACAAGAAACGGCAGCAAGAAAAACAAAAAAGAGACGGAATCGATGAAAAAAATGACTAATAAGAAAAGGAAAATAAAACTGAGCGCGACGCATGCCCATGCAAAGGGACACAAACGTAACCTCACATCTCGCATGGGACATACTGGGCAGACTCGGCACTTCGTCGTCCTCGGATGGATTGCTGACCCTCTGTTGCTGACCGCTCAGAAAGGTCGTCGAGTCGACCATCGTGTACG